ACCATACAGACACTTGAGGACATGTTGAGAGCTTGCACAATAGAGCAAGGTACTGCTTGGGACAAATATTTATTGCTGGTGGAATTTTCTTATAATAATAGTTTTCATTTCAGTCTGGGCATGGCACCATATGAGGCATTGTGTGGACGGACATGCCGGACTCCTACTTGTTGGACTGAGGTTGGTGATAAAGAAAGATTTGAGCCGGATTTTGTGCAGGAAACTACTAAGAAAATTGAAATGATAAGAGAAAAACTAAAACAGAAGCAGAATCGACAGAAAAGTTATTATGATAATAAACATAGATCGCTGGAATTTGAAGGAGATCATGTATATGTGTGGTTATCTCCGGTTACGGGTGTTGGCCGTGCATTGGGAGTGAGGAGGTTGAGTCTTAGATTTATTGGGCCGTATTAGATTATGAAAAGAGAGGGATTAGTGGCCTATTAGCTTGCTTTACCTCCCCAGTTGTCGAATCTACACGATGTTTTTCATGTGTCACAGCTACGGTATTACATTCCAGATGAATCACATGTGGTGATACCAGATGATATTGAAATACGGGAGAATCTGAAGACTCTTGTCGGTCCAATAGATATTCTTGGTCGCAATGAAAAGAGGCTGAAAAGTAAAATCATTCCAATGCTAAAAATACAATGGGAAGGATGCACACATACGGAGGATACTTGGGAGCGAGAGGATGAGATTCTACGATTATATCCTAAGTTAGCAGACAAGTACGATTTTAATTTTGCAGACAAAATTTCAAAAAGGAGGGGTAAATGTAACACCTCATAGATTTGAAACACATAACTGTAATTAAAATAAGGATTTAAGTGTAAGATTAGTGAATCCTGAGTTCTGGATCAAAATACGTAAAATGGGTAAAACAGTAATTTAACAAATATGTAACCCTAAATTGTAAAATGTTAGTAGAATGTCTCAAATGGGAGAAATAACCTTGGAAATGGAACGACAAATTGAGTGGTTAGGCAAGTTTATGAAAATTTGATGAATAGTATTTTTACCAGATAAAAATACAGCGGTACAGCTGCACCAAAAAATGTGCCGAGTCAATTTATGCTCTAGGTTTGAATATAAGTTATAAAAGGTACATAGGACCAAGATATATGATTATTGATTATATTTGATGAAATTTAAGGTTTTTGGGAAAACGTTCCAACGGTATACATATCACGCTAAAATAATGATTTCACTGAATGACTGAAAAACTCTGGAGTCATCTATTCAGGTGTAATTAAAGGACTTTGGTGAATATTAAATTTTAGATTTTATGGATAGTTTATGAATTAAGTGAAGATTAGTGAGTTAAGTGGATGATTTGAAATAATTTAAATTGAGTGATGTGGAAAGTGGGTCCCACCCCACTTAAAAAATAACAAGACACATGTGAGAGCATTATTTACTCTCTTCCTTCCCCCCTTCACTCTCTAAACCCGCAGCCTATGTAGAGGAAGAGGGAAAGTTTTTGCTTCATCAATTCTCCACCAAAAACACACTTTTCCTAAATGAGAATTCAAGTAAATGATCCAATGAATCAAACCAACACCTCCATTCCTCTTGAAAACCCCTAGATTTTGAGATAATCCCTACCCATTCCTACAAAAATTTGAAGACATTGCCACCATTTGAGCTTGTTAGTTGAGCCATTTCTTGGGTATTGTTCTTAGGAGTCTTGGACCTTGATTCTTGGTAAGTTGCACTACCTATTCTTGGTTAAATTTTGAGATCAAATCTGGAAGACCTAGAGCATATGTCTTGTTTGATGTAGTTAGGGACCTCAAATGGATTTTGTGCATTAGATAAATGTTGTTTAGAATGATGAATTAGAGTGATTAAACTCATAAAAATTATTGTAAAAAAAGTTGGTAACTTAGGAAAATTTTGATTTGGATGAGCATGATTTTGAAGGTTTGGTGCTCTGTTTGGAGTTGGTTGGCAGCTTTGCTTGTCCAACTTCAAACGGTGATAACCGGAGCTAGAAAACTCCAAATGAGGCGTGTGATATCTTGTTGGAAAGGTAATTGAGTATAGTTTAACATACCAACAGATGGGAAATTAATAATGTGTAGATCATGCCCAGTATTATAAAGACAGAAGCGTACTCAGATTTAGGAAAATGGAAAAAGTGAGATTTATGCTAAGTGGGTTTATGAGAACCTCTTAGTAACTTAAAATAAGCATTATGTGATAGTTAAACAAGTATAATATTAATTCCGCGTTTAGTTTTCAGTTGCAATCACAGTTTGTATCATTACGTATTATGAATGTTTTAAATTGCATACGTAATGAAAAGGAAAAAGTTTACTCATATTTTTAAATAAATTGTTGTGATTGTAACTGCGCTTGATACATTAATCAATGTTAACAATATCGATACGTAATAGGCTATTACAGTACACAAAGGAATGAGTTGATCAGGCTCACACTAAGTGGTTACACATGCATTATCACAGTAAAACCTAAAAGCCACTCATAAACAACACTGTTATTGCAATACATAAAGAAATTCCCCTTTCAAAACTCCTCTGCTACCATAAAATGTAACTCCCATCTGCAGCCGGTTAATTAACATTCATATGATAGTAAGCGTAACATGCTCAACTTAATTAATATGGAAGCTAACTGAATACATTTTCTCTTCTTCCTTATATATTGCAAACTTTTTCACTTCCATTGCCAAAATAAAATAGACAACATTTTGTTTGTATTTTAGACCACTAGGGACATTTCCCACCATGATAATTTTAACCTGATTGATAGTTTAATATAATATAGGCATAAACCATATTACCCAGCCATCCATGGCATAGGCTATCCCATACATAACAGGTCTTAAAATAATATCAACAGGGTTACTTACATGATTACATCAACCAACCAAAAGAGATGTAATCAAATAAACCTAGACATATACAGACATAACTAACAAAATAGATAAACTATCAACATGGCATAGACATCTCCTATGCTCTCAAAAATATATATGGCATATACAACTCAAAATAAAATATGTCAGGTACAAATCTAAATATCCACAAGACCCTGACAATCATGTTAAGCAGTATCTCTCATCTGGCCTCTTGCCACGCGATGCCTCAGCACCATCAGCTCTTGTACCTGAAAAGGTGATCCTTATAATGCAGAATATATATGACAATGCAATGTGCAAATAATAAATCCTACTGGCCAGAGAATATATAAATTGTATGAATTACGCAAGGAAACGCCGTCTTGCAACATACCCGTATGAGGAAACACCGTCTCATACTATGCATAAGAAAACGTCGTCTTATGCCTCACACAAGGAAACACCGTCTTGTGTGGCACACAAACATACATACATATACATGCACCAAATAAAAAATTATTTTCAACATACCATATCAAACTACCATTCTTTCTCGGAGTCTGGTGGAACAAAAGGGAAATTAATCCCAAGGATCGAAAGCTTACCTGGCAAGCAGTATCCTCCAATAAATCCCCTGTCCACAGAGTCACAATCACAATCTCTCACAAAGTCACAACCTAGTTCCAAGATGTGAAGACAATTAGTATTCAAATATACTAGTCTACCACATTTAATTCCACCTTATCTTTTATTTAATTAATCCTTCAAAGCTTTTCACTTAACACATATCCAATGGCTAATTAAATTTTGACTTAAGCTTACTCTTTATGTAAGTTTAAAGGAAATTAGGTTTTCAACCCAAAGTTGTTTCCAATGAACTCTCTTCAACCATTGAGTCTCTTTGCTCAAAACTACATAGTTAATAACGTGAATAACCATTAATTTCCATCACCATCCATCATCAATGAATACATACAGTACTATTCATCTCTATAGTACTATTCATGTATACGTCACTATTCAAAAATACAGTATCTTTAATTTTTCGAATACATTTTTTACCATTAAAATTCTCATCTAAACACTTTTCTCAACATGGGCTAAGCCTCAATCAAGCTCTAACATGCTCATTCAAGCCAAATTTTCAAAATGAAAACATAAGTTCAATCTTTCTCAAAACTCAAAGAAAACTAAGATTTCTTAACATAAACTTACCTAGAATCACCCAATGTGAATTTCCAACTTCAAATGAGATTAAAACACCTTCTTGGACCTTCAATCAACAAAGGGGCGCCACTTTCCCTTCCATTTTTTTCTCAATACAAGGCTTTATGATAGATTATGGATTAGGGGTTGTGTTTGTCCCCAATTCTAAGCAACTTTGCTTTTAACCTCACTTGATTTCATGAAGAAATGAAGAAGTTGCAATTTAGCTTTCCTTCCGATGGCTTCATGTTCGACGAAGAAGAAAGAAAAATGACGAAGGTGATCTATTTCTTTAACTTAAATATGTTAAGTTATTTTAATTGGGTAAAAATTTATCTATCTACTCACCTTCATTCACTACCAGACTTTACCCAACGAATTAGAATATTTTTCTAGTTATATTTCTAACTTTATTTTCACATTTTGGATAACTTTGTTTACCTGTATTTTTACCTCCAACACTATCATTTTTACTCTTTCACCAAAGGTGACTTTTATTTCTTTTTTTTTCTACTTTCCTTATAATTATTCTTCAATATTATGATTAAAAATACAATTTATAATTAAATTCACAACTATGAGGGTTATTATAAAACACTTGCATAAACAATCCTTTGCATGATTAGATTTTTTGTATAGTGGAGATGCCATAAAGCTCAAACCAAGATCGATAATAGGAAAACTAGAAACAGAATGAGGAAGAAATAAATGTCGTGATGCGAGTCTATTTTATTGATCTAAAAAATTAGTATACATGATCACCACAGTAATATCTCAATATCGAAAAATTCCGCTAACTTTTACTACAAGTGAACCCGTGCATTAGCACAAAGTGGCGGAGCAAGAGATACAAATGAGTGATAATTCAGAATTTTGTGGAACTGAACTTGTTGCTTCCTCCAATGAGTCTAAGTGAGCACCCTCCAATGAGTCTCCTACATTAAATCAGGGGTTAAGTACTCTGAGTTGAATGTGATGGCATACTTGGGGGCAACATATTCGGTTCATCAAAGGGATTGGTCGACTTTTTGTTCATTGTAAATGGTTCCTGATGCTGTTGTTGCTGCATCATGTAATATTCTTGGTAGGGCACGCCTACCATTTGGGCTGGAATTGGGGATGCCATGTTAGGAGAAGCAAAGTATGCGTTTTGGATAGTTGGTGGTGTCGTTGCCGTGTTATACTGGCTATCATGCCTAGCCTCAAAATCAAAAGGATTGGAAGCCACTTGGCCTATGTGGTAAGCACCATTCTGCTGTGTTCCACCATTCGCTTCATCATATAGACTCTCAAGTTTTAATGCGTCCAATCCACCAGCCTGCTTTTCAAGATAAAATTAGTAACAATGCATTTGTACCACTTCCAATGATAATCATTAATGGGTGAAGAGTAATGAAAATGAAAACAAAAACAGGGATCTAGTCAATGACATTACATATTCTACCTAGATGATTTTTTTTTTTTTACTTTTATATTTTTAAATCAAAGATATGGAATATCAACACTAAATCATAGGGAGCAGACAACCATGATTAAAAAAAAAAAACCTGGATGAAGGTTGGATGATAGAAGAGGGGGAATATGAAGGGCTGTAGAGCTGTTCCTTTGTAGCTAAAAGGTTAGAGGTTCGAATTTGAAAAACTTCTTTTTTACAAATATGTAAGGGTAGAAAGAATAAGTTTGCTCACAAAGATTGTCCTCACTCTTATGTCACTAGTCGAAATTTAGCGGGCAATGATTTTTTATTTTTTATTTTTCATGATTGAGTGAGAGAGCCATGTAAAAAATAAAAATAAAAAATCAGCAAATAATATAATTGGATGGATATAAGATGCAAGTGACACAGACTTACTTCTTTACTCTCTGCAAGTACATTCTCGTTCGACCTTTCTGGCTCTGCAAAAAGTGCAACCTCCCAACCTGTTACTGGACTTGCCTCGTTCTCATCATTGCCGGAATTTGAAGAATTTTCTGCTGAATTGCACATGCACAAAAGTAACAGCTTACAACAATGTTTGGTTGAATTACATTGAAATCCACATTATTGCAAGAGAATACACTTTACCAGTTGGGACAACTGCCAGTGCTAGGGAATTCTCATCAAATTCAGATGCTCCTGTTAATAAGTCATACAAACCCTAACAGAACAAGAAGATCAATTAAAAGCTTGGCATAGAATAATCTGGACTTGAAAATAGTTGAAAACAACACTTACCATAAGATCAGCTGCTTGTGGTGGTGCTGTAGCCTCATTCTTTTCTTGAGAAGGATCTGACTTGTCTTCATTATCTGCGTCTTGGTTAACTACATTTAGCAAATCACCTTCAGAAGCTGCATTTTCATTAGCAGTAGCTCCTTTGTCAATGGCATCCTGTTAAGAATAGAGTTGGAACATCGAATTAGAATAGGTTCAATGTTACTGCAACCTAAAACCATTTTTAGGGCGAGTAGACACAACGATAAAGTTGTTTCTTGTGATTATAAGTTGGTACCGGATTCAAAAGAAGAATGCACCGTTCAAGGCCGAGGCAACATAACAAGATTACCTTCGAGTTTAGACTTTTTACGAAAATGCAAGGCTAAAGCTATGTACAATCGACTCCACCTCTACCTTTGCAAGTTGGGGAGCCTTAGGTCAAGGGTAGAGTTTGGTAGTAAAATGACATACAATCGACCCTCATCCCAGTCCTTACAAGTCGAGGAGTCTTGTGGACCAAGTTTTCCTTTTTTATAATTAATCTCTATAACGAATTTTATTGTATTGAAAATTTCAATGAAGTTTCCCTCTTCTTTTTTAAGTTCTCACAAAATACCTTGATTTTCAACATTATTAAGTAACTTTTCCGATATTGTTAAAATATCAAGATATCATGATCTGCAGCTTGAATGGTAACATTGAGTCTCACAGAAAATAATGATGCATGCAATTAAGTTAGAAAAATACTACTAATACAACTTTTGACACTCTCTTTTCAATACCATTTTTTTTATTAGAGTGAAATCTCAAGTTGGCCCCATTATCAGAGCTGGTCCAGTTATTTATGAAACCAGCATAGATTTCATTTAATAAAAGAAAAAATGTTAAAAAAAAATGTTAAAAGAGTGTTTTACTTGCTTTCTTCTCGTAAAATTATATTCTATAAGACTTAAGCATTCATTCTATAAGATGAAAAATAACCTATCGTAGTTCGGAGTGTAGCATCATACCACGTTGTATTCAATCATTAAGGTGCACGGAGCCTCCTTAATATATTCTTCCATTGTAGTTATAAAAGAAGCAGGAGGCTGCAAAATACATATCAGATCATGTCAATGGGAAATAATTGCACATCATAGACATGTGACACACAAAGTTTCCTTAAAAGCCAATACCTTTTTAATATTGATGAATTTCTGACCCCTTCCAAAGTCTAGGCCCCTGCAGGTCTCAAAGAACGCAGACAACCTCTCTGCCTACAATAACACAAGTTTTATACAAACTTGAATTGGATTTCATACAAGTATTAAGGGCCCATAAATACAGATTAAAGGTTGAACGAAGTATTACCTGGCTTCCTGATTTTTGATAAATCTGAAGTGCACTAATAGCATCATCACGATTCATCTCAAAAAACTGGGACAGAATAGAAGTCAGTGTTACTTTATCAACTGTATATGGAGACTGCAAGAACTGAAGTGCTGAAGTACCAATCTGATTGCTTAAGTACTGAGTTTATCACCTTGTCAAGTAATTCGACTACTGTAACAGTTATTGCAACATATATTTTAACACTTTCACCAGCAACCTGAAATAGGAAGACCTCAAAACAGTATTAAGATCAAAGGAGCCTAAAATGCAGAAACTACAGTATCAAGATTTTAGAGTATGATATTTCTTACGACTGAAAGGGCATATTGAATTAAGCGATTGTATGCAGCTGAACCCCCTGGCTGCAAAAGTGAAACACAATGAATGTTTCATGAAGAGTCATGGAAATTACAAGAGTTGCAGGAAAAACAAGACATCATGATCAACAAGCTGCATGAATGGTACCTTGCAATCAAGAAGCCGAAAGAGAAGATTTTGTAGGGCTGGCAATTGCTCCAGCAATTCCTGGGTGCTAAGCTTTTTGGTATATTTCTGTATGTGGTTAGCATAAAAAGTTATATGTAATTTTTCACTAATCCCCAATAGCTTCAGCACAATTACAAAGAATCCAATGGGGCTAAAGGCCAACAGCAAAACATAGTAAAAAGAAAAGATACATTTTGCACTAGATTTGCCATATAGAAAGTCTACCAATAATTTCATTTCATGAAAACAGGAAATTTTAGTAGTTTGACCAAGAGGACAATGAAATGGCAGAATGCTTTAAGAACTACAGTACAGAATGAAGCAGTCATTTCATAATTTAGAGGAGGAATTGAAAGAAGAGAAGGCAGGAAAAAGCATCAAGAATTCACCCACCAAAGTTGTTATGGTTTCCTATCTTACATATGAATGTGACTATTTTCTAGAAATGCAATTTACCCGCTAGAGCCACTGCTCAAGCTCAAGATTTCTGAGGGACATGAAAACTAGATAAAAGAAATGAAGAAAATGAAAAATGATTCTAACTTTAAAACAAGAGAATGCCATGAAAAAACAAGAGAGTAACCAACAGAAGGAACATGCACACAACTTCCTCAAAATTTCACGTAAGGTTTCTCTCTCTCTCTCTCTCTCTCACACACACACAAATGAAAAGAACATAAACTGAACTGCTCACCGAGCTATATGTTCCCACATCGTAGTTCACTATAGCAAAACATTGTAGGCGCTCTTCAAGGTAAAGGGCATAATTACGAATCCAAACAGAATAATCCGATGCTAAACAGCAAAAGCTCCATGTTAATAAACAGTCACTTAGGCAATAACAATGGAGGAAATTAAAGGAGTAGAAAAAGTACCATTTGGGATTGAGCCATCATGAAAGTTTGATAGAGCAATCATATAGCCTCTTCCCTTGCTATAATTGACAAGCTCTTCCCAAACTGTATAGTCAAGTTCCCTCATGGCACGGTGTATAACAATAAGAGTTTTCAAAGCAACCTGAGCATCATCCAAGATGAAGAGAGTGGAATGAAAAATTTTCCATTGCAGCAAGGCAAAAAAGACATAATAGTTAATCAGGAACATACAGCCCAATTGTTAGTTTGGCTCAGACGTCTAGCAAGACCATGTATACAATAAACAACCTCACTGCGAGGTTTTGATGGAGAAAGTGACTGAAATATGGCTGAAAACACCAGAAGAGTCAGAACACTTTGTAGTATGTGAAAAAAAAAAGAGAGTACACTAACGGCCACGGCATGTAGAAACCCTTAAAAAGCTTCAACTAAAGGAAAATATTTAGCAGAAGAATTTTAGCTTTTCAATTTTATAAAAGCAATAATTTTCAAATGAAAAGAATATAAACCACTACCCATTAAACCGAGTGACCTTTCAGTCACATAGGACAATAGCAGCAACTTTAACACTACTCCAGACTCGCGCTCTTTAAATGGAAAGAAAAAAGAAACAAGAACATGGTTACAGAACATGTAAAATAAACGATGAATATGGAGAAAATAGGCTTCTAAGTATCTTCAACAACTAGTTACTTATTTTCTCCATATTCACCATTTATCTTACAGAGCTGGAATATCACATACTTCGAATGTGCTTTTCCTTTGGCAATGCATGGTCATAGTTTGTTGCCTTAACAATTGCAGCATCCAACACCTGCGATTCATCACCACCTCTTTAAAGTAATCTTGAAGAAGAAGACGAAATTTTGACTAACAATTTGCTCGATATATAGGTACCTTATGATCGCCATGGACTTTTCCCAATCCAAAAGCCTTCTTCATGTCACCTCTTGCTGCCAATCTCTTCAAATGGAAGTGTTTCTCTAATTACTAAACAAGTTATTTTCTAACACATTAAATTTATCCTATTTACTGAAATCATTCACGAATGCAATGTCACTTTGACTATCCTAGAAATGAAGAGTATTGCCAGTGGATTCATTATATTAAATTTGAGCACCATTCATCACAGCCAAACCAATTCATAATACATTATTTCAAGCCATAAGAAAATGAAGTCGTTACAAACCAATGTTCCCATTCTTTTCATTGAACTATTTTGTTTGAAGTAACACAAAAATTAGCGCGCAAGCATTATGCTTCACATGATACAGACATTGTATGGATTAACTAAGTTGATCAATCAATTAATTGCACCTTCAATTACGATATGTTTAACTGAGATCATTTCAATGAAAAATTGTACTTCGGTAAAAACAATATTTATGATTAGAATTCAAGACAATTTGATAAAAGAACCCGAACGTGGTGTCAAGCACAATATTGGTAGTGTCTTACAGAACAATAAATAAGAGAAAAAATTTCCGCCAAAAATAAAATTTCATTTATTTTTTCAAACTGAGCAATATACGAGAGCACAAGAATTCAAATATATATTTAAAATAAGAAAAGTGCACTGTGTATGTGATTAAGAATTGGAGAAGTTGAACATTCAAATTGTGTTATTAATGTAAACAAGTGCGATAAGAAATTTACGTGTGAAACAGGATGGCCGTCGGAGATGTAAACCGGCGAAAGAAATGTGCAGCACGGCAAGAGCACCTATCGCGACATTTCCTGTTTTGTGGATATAAACGCAAAAATGCAACGTGAGCAAAAGCAGAATTACCGGCGTTCCTTTAGCGCATCTATTTTAATTTTTTCTTATGTATATATATATTTTTAATGTGGAATGATGATTTCTATACCAGCAGGGAAGGTGTTGCCACCCTATGAAGCAGTGACATTTAAAAATTTTTACACGATATTTTTCGACACTCTCCGATATTTTAATATTCCAACATGCATTGCGGAGACTCAAGAAATGATTAAAATATTGTGTTGCGTTGTGTTTTTAGTACCAACTATTAAATTCATTCGATTATGATTACTATTTTATTGCGTTTAATATAAATATTTAGGATATCTTATTTTTTTTTCAAAATTGATTGGTATTATAAGTCTAGCTTCACTTTTTTGTTAAATTATTGAATATTAAATATAATATAAACTACATAAATTAATATCAAAATGATTAGTGTAACACCCTCCCTTGTATGCATCCAAGAGAGTTGTTTTTTAAGCGGAATTAGAGTTTTTGACGCCATTACTTTGATACTGAAAAATCATTTAGATATTGCTAATTAAAACTTATAATTGAAATCGAGCCACTTACAAAAATCAGAGTGAACGTTTCAAAATTTCTTGATTTGCTGAAAATATTAAATTTTCTGGCAGACATTGCTGTCTTGAAAAATTCGTATAAAATCTAGTTCAACGATCCACAAAAATATTCTTTGTAATATAGAAACTAGACATCTGGGGCTTTGCGTACATATAAATTATACGCGAATCGGAGGTGAATAGCCCCACGAAACGGAACTAGTAAAGTACTCAAAAATTCGTTGTATTTTTTCCAAAACCTCCTGACTTGTAAAAATAATAATAATTCGGAATTACAAGCGCTGAACATAATCTTTTTATAATCTGAAAGTACACAACTGGGGCTTTACTTACATATGAATTATACCTCATTCGGAGGTCTGTAGCCCCACTAAATATAACTTGAAAAGTGCTCGTAAAACGGTTTATAAAACTGCATTCAAAACCTTAAGATGAATTTATAGGCAACTAGTAATCATGAAAATCGAACCTGTATGCTTAAGGAATTGTGGGTGTAAATTTTGTATAAATGGAAAAGGCTATATGTACCTTGTTGTTAACTAAACCGAACCTGTATGTGTAGGTCCTTGGAATGAATTTTTTGTTACTTGATAGAAATTATTAGGACAAAAATTAAAGACAGGAAGATAATTAACTTATGGTAAGGCAGATTTGAATTAGATTGTTAATTTAATTTAAGAGCCTTGAAACCGATTGGAAACCAAGGATTTAGGAGAATGGAAAGGTATGTAACGTAATTGAATGAATATGATAAACTCTGATTTGGCGTACGTGGTTGTTTAGGTGCGCAAGGTCCGGAATAATTGGATTGTTTGATGATATTCGGAATGCTTGGTGTAAAAGCTAAAGAGTCAAGGTATGTGTTTGGTGGTGAGACCTACTGTGACTATTAGCTAGAGTATGGAATTTTGAACTGATTCTCACATGCGCGTTATGCTTAGTATTCAGTTATATGATATACGTAATCTGCCTTTGGACTTGTCTTGATGGAAAATTCTTCCTATGGAAGTATTTGTTAGTTGGCAGCTTGGTATTACATATACAAGAGATATATGCTATATGATTATGATCTAGTCATGCATATGCACTTCATGTTTCATCTGTGTTTGTTTGTGTGTGTGTCAAGCATGTCATCACATAACGCATTATGCATTCATCTTGGAGACTGAACTATATAATAAATAAGCATACGTTTGAGCACGCATCATATAGGCATCCCTACGGTACCAGGGTATGGGACACTTGGCTTCAGTCCGCATAGGTTACAGTTGGAACCCTCTGAGGAGCCATTAAGGGAGGGACCTCCACTGTACTTGTTAAGTATGGGCACGACGGTGCTGTAGACGTACTCTTGGCGTTATATACGCATCTTGACTAGTATCTTGGTGTTATATACGCAATATGATTAGTACCTTGGCGTGATGTACGCACTATGATTATTATGTTAGCATCTATCTGGGAAAATTAAATGTTGATGCGACTATTTTGGAATTTTGTACCTAGTTTAATATTGTTGCTGTATTGGTTTTATTGCCACACTACTGGGATTTTTCTCACCCCTTCGGGGGCTGCATTTTTATAAATTGCAGGAAGATAAAGAAATATTTGGTAAAGCATGTCATTGGAAGTATTTGGTTGATGCTTTGCTGTTTGAGGATTACTGCTGTTAGTTCTGTTTCTATTGGATTAAATGCTGAAAGATTATATGCAATAAGATGTTATGAAGATTAGCAAACTTGTTTAGTGATTTGAATTATGAAGATTTGATGAAGCATTTCTGAACTATGTAATTATGTATATATATATATTCTGTTTTGAAAAAGAAGCGCAGCATGATATGTATATGATGATGGTATTTAGATTGCAAAAACAATTATGCTGTATTATAAAAATTCGAATTTTTGCACTGTTTTTATGAGCACTTTGCGAGTTGTTGTTCTGGGGCTACAGACCTCCGAATGAGGTATATTTTATATGTATGAAAAGCCCCATTTGTGTAATTTCATATTATGTAAACCTTACAATGAAATTTTGAAAACTCGAATTATTATGATTTTTACAAGTCAGGAGGTTTCTAGAAAAATACACTGAGTTTTGAGTACTTTACGAGTTCTATTTCACGGGGCTATTCGACTCCGATTAGCGTATAATTTATATGCACGCGAAGCCCCAGATGTCTAGTTTCTAAATAACAAAGAAGATTTTTTTGAATCGTTGAACTTGATTTTATACAAATTTTTCAAGACAGCAACGTATGCCAGGAAAATAATATTTTCAGCAAGTCAAGAAAAATTTGAAAGTATACTCGGATTTTGTAAGTGACTTGGTTTCAATTATTAGTTTTAAGTAGCAACAACAAAATGATTTTTCCGTATCCAAACTATAAGAAAAAACTCTAATCCGCTTAGCAAACAACTCTCTTGGATGCATACAACGTCAAAATCTAACATTTTTTAGAATTAACGTGTCGAAGTGTCGTGTCATGTCGTATCTCGTGTCCCGTGTCGTTGTCGGTGCAACATAGGCCACCCCCACCTACTTTGACATTCAGGGGACGTTTGGTATACGATATATATTTTTTATCAAGAAATTTTTTTTTCCAGGAATATGGTGAAAATATTTTTTTCCGGATAAGTTATGAAAAGGTGTTTGGTAAGTCCAAAATTTTTCCAAAAATATTGGTTAATTTTCTTGAATATATGTTTGGTTGATGATAAAATATTGATAGAAATATGGAATGAATTTACTAAAATAACCCCACCTTCGTTATCAAAGACCCAACCATCACTGTACCATATCCTAGCCACCAATTCCAATTCGCGAGAAAATCCGTGAATTCATCCTCTTTCTTACAAATATATTACCAAAACACACACACACACACACACACACACACTATTTTCTTACAACTTTTGACAACAGAACACATACGCTCATAATCCCCATTCCTAGAGCTTAGCATAGCAACAAAAATGGAAGATTTTTTTTTTAGGCATAAACGGATCCATAAGAGAGCGACATCAACAAAATCGCATCTTGTTCTTCCTCTCCGAATTTCTTCCAATGCGATTATTGCATCGAAACCTCCCTCCCAAAAGCAAATAGTCTCTGACTATGCCTCAAGCTCAAACCATCACCACCACCAACCTTGCTGCTATCACTGCTTTGTTTCCCCTTTTTGTTATCCTTGTTGCTTCCCTTGCTTATCCCCAAATTTGCTATTTACTTCTTCATGCTTCTGAACCGACAAGCGTTGCAAGTGACTGCAAAAATCAAAAATCAAAAAAATAAAAATAAGAATCAAGAAACTGCACTTAAAAATTTGTGTTTGTGACCGTGGAAGAAGAACAAAGGAGAGAGAGACAGGGCATTTTCGTCTGATAAAATTTTTAATCCTTTCCCAAGTGGTCTTCAAGTTCTCATTACTTGTTCATTAAGTTATCAAGTTAGCTTCGACATCACAGTACACCTACATGGCCACCAAGTCATCATTTTGGCTTCTTCTTCAAGATACATTGACTTGGTCCTCAAGTCACCTTTACTTGATCATCAAGTCTCATAGCTTGGTCTTCAGGTTAGTGTAGCTTTTCCACTAAGTT